CTCCAATTTCGCTTAGGAATTGGTAGGCTTAAACATATATTTTATCAAATAAATAACTTGACCTTTACAAAACAAATCAATATTGCCTTTTTTGTCTAACCTCATACACCTCAGAATTGTACTAATTTGTACACCTCTAGGAACTTTAGCATACTACATTGGCCCTATTCATTTAAAGTGTCTTCCTACTACTAGTTCTTTGTCTTTATTTTTCTTTTGAGGTAGAAATGATATATGACAATATATTGTATATTATTAAAAAATATATCAATAAAATATTGACATTATTGTTCTTTTATTATAAAAAAAAATTAATAATTTTTTTAATTATCAAAAAATAAAAATATATAATTGAATAAAAGTTTAAAAAAATATTTATTGTTATAAGTTTTTTTTATACAATTTTTTTTTTAAAAAAAGAACTTTTATATTTATTATTTTTTAATTAAAAATCTTATTCTAATATATTAATATATTTTTTTAATATTTTTAAAATTCTTATAAAAAATTCTTATAAATTATTATACTGTATTTTATTATATTCTCTTATATAACAAGTTTAAGTTAAAAAAATTAAAAAAAAACGAAATTATTATTTTATTGATTTTTGTATTAAAAACCTTTTATTTGTAAAATACAAATATAAAATAAATAATTTTTTTATTATAATAAATGAAAATAATATTTAAAATTATTGTATGTATTTTTTATTAAAAATTAAAAATTTTTTTGAAAATTGTTTTATTATCAAAATTTTTTATAATTTATATCAAAATTAAAATTCAAAACAAAAACAGTAGAAAAATTCAAAAATGTTTTTAAAACATCTTATATACTGTAGGTTTTCAAAAAATATTTTATAAATTTTATAATCTTTAAATAATATTTAGTAAAATTGTATTAAAGGTCTTACACTATATATATTTTATGTAATATCATGTTTTTAAAAAGTTTTTAAACTTACTATATACTGTATAAATAATATGTTTAGCATTTGATTAAAATTGATAGATTATATAAAGTTTTTCTATATTTACAGTTAAATTAAATTCATGTTATTTTTCTTTTGATATTTAAGGTAATAGCAATAGTAATATTAAATTTTAATTTATTATTTGTGTACTTAATTATGAAATTATTTTAAAAAATAATTGTGTTAATTGTAATCTTTGCTTTTATAATTTATATTGATTTGTAATATATTGTGATTCACAATATATTACAAATCAATATAATTAATATTTAACAAAATTGTCGAATTCAAAAAATTTTTGAAACATTTTAACTTGAAAATATTAGAAAAACCAATGTTGTGAAACTCGGATGTGTGACGCGCTGTCGCATTATGTAAAATATAGAAGTGTATTACGTAAGTAAACAAGTGGTGCAAGGTAGGAAAAAGGAGTAAACGAAAAAGAGTTAGGAAGGAGACCATCGTATTAGCTTGTATTAATAAGGTTTCAACCTTAAAATACATGTTTCATTTGTCATATACTTGTGACTTGAACATCACGACTAGCAGGTTTGCTGGAATATAGGAGTCTCTAGGATAAGGTTCAAAAGATAGTCAGAAGACACCTTAAACCAATCGATTGTACGTAACGCGAGAATTATCTTGGGTTAGCGACAAACTCGCCGTTTTCGACGCCAACGCCAAATTACAGTATATTGGAACGAAGGTACATACCCTGTTGATATTTACTTTTTTGGAACATGTACGCTTACAAATTATTATTACTGATTATCTCTTAATTCCCTTTAATTCCTCTTTTCTTTATTTTACTTTCGATCTATTTTTTTTTCACTGTTCACTACCGGCGACAACATCTGGCATTCCGATCAATTCGGGGTCTGATCAAGAATTCTCTATTATAATAAAGTGTAGACATTATTGAAGATTTTAAACGCTGATTACACTCTTTTATGGATTTCCATATAAGAATTATCATTGATTATCTTTTATTTCCTTTTATTTCCTTTATTTTGTTTGGTTTTTTTTTTATTAATCAATACCGGCGCCAACATCTCGGCATTCCGATCAATTCAAGTAATGGAGACATTATTGATGAGAAATTTTTTTGGACATGTAACAATGAAAAGTACTGTATTTTTAAAACGATGAAAAATCATTGTGGATTACCAAATAAGCATTATTTATTTATTTCATTTTTCATTATTTATTTTCGATCTTTTTTTTTTTCGTTATGCGTTACCGGCGACTAATATCTCAGCATTCCGACCAATTCGCGTTCCTTGAAAAAATAAACAAATAGGTTGTTTGCGTGTTTAATATTTTTTCCAAGGATCTTATTCTTCGGCGCAATGATTTTTAAATCAAAACTACCTAATATCGAAATTCCATCTACTGGAGTTTACCAATATATAACGAGTAATCCTAATAATGTTCCCGAAAATAAGGTTTTATTTATCGACGGGACAACAGATGAAAAGATAACTTTTGGTGAATTTAAAAGTAAAATAAAGAGATTTGCTGCTGGATTACACGATAAAGTTGGGTTTAAACGAGGAGATGTTTTAGCGATCGTTTCTCCTAATCAGGTAAATTTTAATATAATGCACGTTTATCTATTTACAGTATATAATAAAGAATTTTTTGGAAAAAGGTTGATTATCCCGTTGTAATTTTTGGTGCAATCGTTGCTGGCAAGTATTTCGCAAACATTCGTTATCGTATATAAAATTAGTTTCTAAACTTTTTATTTTTATAGGTGGCAAAGTGTCTCCCGTTAACCCAAAATATACTGTCTCCGAGTTATCATACCAATTCTCCGCTTCCGGAGCTTCTGTAATAATTTCTCATCCTTTATGCCTCTCTGAGACTATCGAAGCTGCTGCCGAAGCCCAAATTCCTCGTTCCCAAATCTTTTTAATTAACGACAAAGAGGTCAATGGAATTCAACCATATAACACATTATTTCTAGATCGAGAATTTGAGCCCATAGAATATACACCAGAGGAAGCTAAGCATACTACTGTATTTTTATGTTATAGCTCGGGTACTACTGGAAAAAATAAAGGCGTTGAGACTACACACTCAAATATTGTCGCAAATGTAAAGCAGATAGTTGCTTTTGAATCAGGTTTTGATCAAAATAAAATTTTTATGGGTGTAGTGGTATGTTATCCTTTTAATATTATTGGATTATTTATTAATAAGGATAAAGTACTAAATAAATTAATTATTGTTTTTTATAAACAGCCATTCTATCATATTTACGGATTAACTGCTCTTCTCCATGCTTCTTTATTCTTGGTAAGTTCTTATTTGCTATTAATTTAATATCAACAATTTAATTAGGTAGTTAATGCTTTTTTTTTATAAAGGGTGCCACGACGGTATTAATCCCGAAATTCGACTTAACAACACTCTGTCGCGTAATTCAGGATTACAAGGTTAATTACGCTCATCTTGTGCCACCAATAATTCTATTATTGGTCAAAAGCCCCATTGTTAAGGAATATGACTTGTCGAGTTTGCGAGTGATTGTTAGTGCAGCTGCTCCTCTTAGTAAATCTTTGGTGGACGATTTGTTTAGCATTCATAATATTCTTGTCAAACAGGCATATGGTAATTAATAATATATATTATAGATGATTATTTGCCGATTATATTATTAAAGTTATTTACTTTTAGGACTCACTGAAACATCACCGTTTGTCAGCTGTGCTGACGATAATAAATCCGCTAAATGTATTTACTTGTTTAAAATGAATATACAAAGGAAAAAAAAAAGGAAAAAAAATAAATTAATGTGAAAAACATTTATTTTTAAAAGGCTCCGTTGGAATGCTGCTACCGAACATCGAAGCTAAGATAATAGCGGAAGATGGACAAGGTATATTATTTCGCTTCACTTTGTAAAATTATAAATAATGTATTGACACGAATA